TTATTCAGGCGATTAAGGCACTAAGGGCATCGTCGAAACCGGCTCAGAATCGCTCCATTGGTTCTCCGGTTCTCAGAAGGGCTGCTTTTGGTTCTACGGTTCTCCGAAGATCTCGCTTTGGTTCTACGGTTTACAGGAGATTTGGCTCTTTCTCAAGTTCTCTGGTTCTCAGGTTTTCTCGTTTTCTAGTTTTCGGGTCGGTCTCTGGTTCTCTTGAGAGTTTGTCTGCCTCTGGTTTCTCAGGTTTTCTGGGTTCTCTTATTGGTTTTTGGTTCTCTCTCTGGTTCTTGGTTCTCTCTCTGGTCTCGGGTTCTCTCCTCTGTGGTCTCTGGTTCTCTTCCTGATCTCTGGTTCTCTCTCTGGTCTCTGGTTCTCTCTCTGGCCTCTGGTTCTCTCTCTGGCCTCTGGTTCTCTCTCTCTGGCCTCTGGTTCTCTCTCTCTGGTCTCTGGTTCTCTTCCTTATCTCTGGTTCTATCTCTGGTCTCTGGTTCTCTTCCTTATCTCTGGTTCTCTCTCTGGCCTCTGGTTCTCTTCCTTATCTCTGGTTCTCTCTCTGGCCTCTTGTTCTCTTCCTTATCTCTGGTTCTCTCTCTCGCCTCTGGTTCTCTCTCTCGCCTCTGGTTCTCACGTCTCTCTCCTTGGCTCTCCACGTCTCTTATCAAGTATCTGGTTCTCCGGGTTCCCAGAAGCTCCCTCTCTAGTGCTACCGGTTCACAGGAGGTCTGTCTCTGGTCCCCTCGGTTCTCAGAAGGTTCTCCGCGGTTCTCAGAAGGTCTCTCGCTGGTTCTCGCATTAGGCAGCGTCCCGTTCAGAAGTTTTATCGGGGTGAAAAGTTTCATATGAAGGGAGGAGAAAGAAAGAGGAGAAAAAGAAAGTGTGGGGGGTGGGGGTGAAAAAAAAGTGGAGGGGAAGGGTGGTGGGGGGGGAATGTGGGGGGGGAGGAGGAGAGGAAAGAAGAGGGAGGAGGAGGAGGAGGAGTAGGAGTAAGAGTAGGAGGAGGAGGAAGAGGAGGGAGGGAGAGGAAGAGGAGGAGGAGGAAGAGAGGGAGGGAGAGGAAGAGGAGGAGGGGGAGGAAGAGGAGGAGGAAGGGGGGAGGGGGAAGGGGAAGAAGAAGAAGAGGGAGTAGGGAGGAGGAGAAGGCTGAAGAGAAGTAGGAGGGTGGAAGGGAGGAGGAGGAGGAGGAGGAGGAGGAGGAGGAGGAGGAGGAGGAAGGGGAGAAGGAGGGGGAAGGAAGAACAAAGCGGAATGACGGGGAGTGAGAGGAAAAAAAGATAAAAGAAAAAAAAAAATACGGGGTAGGTAGGTAGGAGGGAGGGAGGGAGAGGGAAAATGTGAAGAAAATGGGGAGAGAGCAAAAGGGAAGGTAAAGATGGTAATAACGATAATGATATTAAGGATATTAATAGGCTCATAGCAAATTAATGGTAATACCTGAAATAATCTAGCGTGATTATATTAAAGATTTTGAAATTGATATATGGACCAGATTTTAAAATAGTTTATGTTGATGATCATACTAATAACTGTATTGATGTTGCATAGATGTAAACAGGAAAGACAAGATAAACAGTAAATAGAGAGATGAATTAATGTTGTTAACGACGACGAAAAATAATGAAGATGAAGAGAAAAAGAGGAATAAATAAAGAAGAGAATAATTCAGAGTGAGAAGAAAGAGGAAAATGAAGAGTATTGAAAGAGAAAAGAAATCTGTAGGAAAAAAAGATAAATTATATAACCACTAAAAAAAAAATATCCAAAAATTTAAGTGAAAAAAAGAGAAGAGAGAGAAGATGAAAACTTAATACATAAAAAGAAACAAAGAAAATAGGGAATTAATCTATCCACTAATAACGAGACAGCGGGCGAAGGGAGGGAACGAGGAAGGGGGGGAGGGGGGAGGGGGGGTAACAAGCATCGCCAGGGAGCTCGTTTTACCGTGGGATGATGACGGCCCCGATTGATGCCTGGCACGAGGGCATTCCTGCTCTCAGTTTGCATCCTTCCTCTCCCTGCTTGCTACCTGCTCCTGCTTCTCCGTTTCTCCATTTCTCCGTTTCTCCCGTTTCTCTGCTTCTCTGTTTCTCCGTTTCTCTGATTCTCCCGTTTCTCTGCTTCTCTGCTTCTCTGATTCTCCGTTTCTCCCGTTTCTCTGCTTCTCTGTTTCTCCGTTTCTCTGCTTCTCTGATTCTCCGTTTCTCCCGTTTCTCTGCTTCTCTGTTTCTCCGTTTCTCTGCTTCTCTGATTCTCCGTTTCTCCCGTTTCCCTGCTTCTCTGTTTCTCTGTTTCTCCGTTTCTCTGCTTCTCTGCTTCTCCGTTTCTCCGTTTCTTTGTTTCTCCGTTTCTCTGCTTCTTTGCTTCGTTTCTCCGTTTCTCTGCTTCTCTATTTCTCCGTTTTTTCTACTTATGTTTCTCGTTTTTTTCTGATTATGTTTCTCTGTTTTTTTCTGCTTATGTTTCTCGTTTTTTTCTGCTTATGTTTCTCCGTATTTTCTGCTTA